TTTTATGCTTTAAACAAACAAAGACTTTCGAGCCCCACTGGATGCACTATGTTTATATAAATATCTGCATTCAATAGAATATAATAGACATTAAAAGGCTAAACATGCTGAAAATCAATGCTTTGCTGGCAGTGTAGGAGAGTTTACTTTGATGCACATGTGTGTGTGTGTGTGTGTGTGTGTGTGTGTGTATCGCCTGTTCCCCTGCTGTGCTGCTTCACTGTCAGATCGTGGTCTTGTTATTTTCAGCCGGATATGATTCAGACTGAAGGACTGTGTAATTATAACACACACACACACACACACACACACACACACACACACGGATGAGGGTTTCTGGTAAGACTGTTGGGATCCCCCGGTTGGAGGAGCATTTAGGTGCAGCACAACACTGCTTTAGTTTCATTATATATGTGCAGTATGTGTGTGTGTGTGTGTGTGTGTGTGTGTTCAAGGGTCTTTGTTTGGTTCCTCTGCCCTAGAAATGATTTAAGTATTTAAAGAGCATTGAGGTTTTATGTGCTGGAACCCGCTTCACTGTCAAAAGCGACATGTTTGACTACACGTACACGTATGAAAGGAAAAGTGCTGTGTTTGTTGCTTCTTTATACCAAACTGAAGTATAAAAATGTTTTTCGTAGCAGTAAAAATGCTGCATGGGTGTATGATGGCCAGAACAGCAGTCTAGGTGCACGTGGGTAGGTTTTGAGACACAGCCAGTGTAAGCCGGTGATGAGAACTGAGCGATCGGGCCTCACTGAGGAAATCAGAAACCCACTGGAGACACTCACTGTGTGTCCTGGTTTCTGAGAAACGGGTCATGTAGTGGTTTCAAAGCACGTGTGCGGCGCGTGAATGCTGACCGGTTCTGTTTTACTGAGAAAGACAGAAAGAAAAGAAAAAAAGCCTGACTGACATGCACTGAAAGTACATGTGCATATGCACATAATGTACATTTACACGGTCTTGCATCATGCATGTTTGTTTTGTAATACATGTTATCTTTGGAGGAAATCAAAAGGTTTCCTTGCTATTGAAAGATAAAACTGATGAACAAAGATGAACAGAGACTCAAAATTAAACTTGAGTTCAAACAATTTTAGTGAACGTGTAAAAAATGTAATCAGATTGTTGCAAAAATACTTTGTCATTTATCCGCAAATTGCATGAATTAAGTGCGCTTTACACAACAACATATCAAACCAAGTAGGCTATCATTTATTTTAGATGAAGAAAAACACACTTTTTCTAGCGAAACATTTCATAAAAAGAAAAGCATATACATATATTTTTTGGTTATTAAGCAATAGATAAACAGTTCAAGACAAATCTAGACAAGAATTATTGATATTATGTCGTTCATTTCTATGGACTCCAGCACCTGCTACTGAAACATGGCGTGGTTTAGATGGTGAGTAGTTACAGAACTTTGGAGTACACTAGAGTGCAGTGTGGATGTGGCTGCAGCCTCAGCCAATGAAACAACAGAGAAGGAAACAATGCGAGAATGCAGGCGTGGGACGTCACACGCTATTTTTGGAGAACTCCTCCCACATTTCTATTTTCGTCCGCCTCAGGGGCGGGGCTTACCAAGATACTTGTAATAACTCACTTTCTCCCTCTCGCACCACTGCCGACCATCGCTGCTGGTCGTTTTAATGGATGTCAGACTACTAATTTAAGGATTAAGGCAAGCTTTAACAGAGGAAGCATTTGGACATTAAAAACAAAGCGTAAAGACTGCAAAAAGAAGAAGAAGGAGTTTCACACAAGGGAATAACGACCTGTTGCATGCTTTTATCTTTAACATAAGGTGACTACAGGCTGTCTTTCATATTATAAACTGTGTCCTGCTGCTTTAGGCTTTATAAGGAAGTCAGTTTGCCTGGCTTTTTCAGTAGCTATGCCTTTTGAAAGCTTTGCATGATTATGCTGTCGCTTATTTTGATAAGTCTCTTTTTGCGCATTCTTTGAGTATTGTTATTAATGAATTATTTACATATTTATGTTGTCAAGCATGGCTTTAAAACCTATCCGTCTTTACATTGAATAATTACACAGAATGCGTGCACTGTGTTGGTGAAACCGATGCATGTAAAGAATAAGTTTAGAAACAAAGTGGAAATGAAACCCAAACAGACCAAGAAACAAACAATTAAAGTCGTCTGTCTAAAATAGCTGGTGAGAAACTTAGTTCTCTATACTGGACTCGAGTCTTGAAATGCGTCTTTAACTAAAAAGCTTTCAGTTTGTGTGCAGTTTGACTTAAAACAGTTTGACTTGCCTACCTAGACAGCATTTTTAGGCGTTTAGTGATGGCCAAAAGTATCTAGGTAACGTAAACAGTGCACTGTTTGAGGCTACTACGGTTCGTATCAGACTTTAGACATTACAAAATGTTACCATGGTTACCATAATCTCTTCCAAAATACCATAGTTGGGTTACTGTACTTACTATTACCGCTAATCTTTCATTTAAGGAGCTTTCAGAATCTTTCATTTTATTATTTTTGAATTAATTAACTTTATATCGGTTTTTGATGACGGCGGTTCACATACTAAAGCCCTGCCGTTGTTGTTGTTGTTGTTGTGTAGTAAGCTAACTATTGTGTGTTTGCAATGTATAACTGACAAGTGTTGCCAATTTTGTTGCTAAATTTAGCAACTTTTCAGACTACCCTAGCAACTTTTTCTTCCAAAAGCACCTAACAACAAATTTAGCAATTTAAAAAATGTATTTGGCAACTTTTAATAAGGACTCAGACAATAAAAAGGCACACATTTTCCATCCAAATGACACAAAAAGAGGAAACCACAGATGCCTAGCAGTACACACATCACGAGAATTGAGTTAGCTGATATTTGCAATTGTTCAATTTAATAATAATAATTGAATAATTTGATAATTGAATATTTGTTCATTTATGATACACTTTGTTAGTAGCTTGCACCTGCGATTGTTGATCAGTTAGTACACTAAGAAAAATGGAAAATCTTTCAGGACATTTCCATCATCCATTGTAACTCTGTAACCCGAAAACACAATGCGTAATTTAAAATGCAGGTAAAAAAAACATTACAGAAAATTATTTCATATTAACATAGTAGATTGTGCCTTATTTTTACAGACTTTTCTTAGAGTGTAGCATACTAACTAACTACTAATACACTGCTTAAAGCATAATTGTTGAGAATGTGTAGAATTACTAGTTTACTAGCTACTAAAAAAACTTAAATTGAAATCATTAAAAAATGTGTACGTTTTCAATAATTCGATGTATTTAAAAATACAGTTATTTATATTTTAATATTATATCGTGCATATTGTTTTACAAACAAATCTAAATTAACATATATAAAAACATGCTGAGATTTGATGATGTGACAATTTTGCGTCGTGATTACGCAGTGACATCACAACATCATTTAGCAACTTTTAGCAACAAATCGACCTTCCTTTAGCAACTTTCTCTGAAAATTAGTTGGCAACACTGAATGTTAAATTAGTTGGCAACACTGTAACTGACAGAAACTATGCCATACATGCTTGTTTGTAAGGGTGTGAGTGGCAGGAAATGAAGGCTCTCTCAAACATCTCCACTTCTTCTCGTTCCGCAGATGGAAGTTGTGCATTGGGACTGATCGTCGAGTCAGATCAGAGAGACACTCACTGCTGGGGAGTGACAGCAGGTATGTTACCTTCATTTCAGAGGAGCTTTAGGCTACCTGTGTGATTTGAGATGATGACATCCTTTGCCTTTACATGAGTGAATAAAAGGGCCGTACTTCCCGGTGTTGTGCCGAATTCTGCACCCCTGCCAGATTATGCACCCCCTCGTTGAAGTCGCTACCTTGATTGCCTAATCCCAACCCCACCCCTAATCCTAACCCCTCCCCCACACCTTTTCCTTAAAGGGATAGTTCACCCAAAAATGAAAATTTTATGTTTATCTGCTGGGAATATGTGGAAAGTCACCACTCCCGAATGAGTTTGCGAATAAGTCGGTTTGAACAATCCAGATAAGCGCAAGTAAGTACCATTTTGATTAGCCATCGTACCTACAATGTTTGTGCACTGAGTAACCAATGAGTGACGTATACGCGCGAGAGATCACTTCCGGCGCTTGCGTAAGCTACGCCAGAGTGCGTACACACCTCACGCATCGGATGCCGTGCGCGCGCTCAAAGACAGTTGGACATAGTGGTGTATTAGAGGTCAAATATGATATAAATACTGTTCGGTTTCTGGCACAAACCGATCGTTTCGTGTCTTAGGACATCAATGTGTCGTCACGAGCCGCAGGGTTTAATTTGGATTTGTCTGTGCATGTTTTTTTTAACTCTCAAAGATTTTGTTACCATTGCCATGCATTATACGACTGATAGGCTACAACGGCTGGAGTTAAAAATCTCCGTTTGTGTTCTACTGAAGAAACAAAGTCACCTACATCTCGGATGCATTGGGGGTAAGCAGATAAACATAAAATTTTAATTTTTGGGTGAATTATCCCTTTAACCTACCAATACTAGGGGGTGCATTATCTGGCAGGGTGCAAATTTCGGCACTACACTGGAACTATTTACTTCAGGAGCATTCATGAAATTATAGGCCTATGTGATGCGGCCTTAATTATAAGGGTCCAAAAAAGTATTAAGGAGCGCTTAAAATGTCTGAATGTAATTGCATTAAATAACTGAATGGCAAAGCATGTGGCACCTGCAAGGAAATGCTGCAGGTTTTCTCAGAACATTTTTTCTTTTAAAATTCTAACAAAACAAGGTGGATGTATGACGTCCGTTCACACAGGTGAGAATTACATTAACTAGCGTATGGTTCATATTTGACAACCACAAAGTGTGCATAGAGTTTGTGTCAATCATCAGAAGAACTTTTTTTTGGAGCCATTGTACACAATTGTTTGAAAGATGTTTTAATGTCTCTCATGATCACCAAGGCTGCATTTATTTGATCATTAAATACAGTATTTGTATTTATTGTGAAATATTATTACAATATAAAATAACTGCTTTCTATGTGAATGTATTGTAGAATTTAATTTATTCCTTTGACATCAAAGTTGAATTAAATTTTTTCAGCATCATTACTCCAGTCTTCAGTGTTACATGATCCTTCAGAAATCAGTCTAATATGCTGATGTGCTGCTCAAGAAACATTTCTGTTTATTATCAATGTTGAAAACAGTTGTGCTGCTGCTTCATATTTTTGTGGAAACTGTGACTGTATGTTTTTTTTTTTTTCCAGGATTCTTTGATGGATAGAAAGTTCAAAAGAACAACAAAAGAATACATTTATTTGAAACAGAAAGGTTTTTGTAACCATATTAAAGTCTTGATAATTTAGTAGTTTCTTACTGCCTTTACTTACTGATCCCAAACATTTGAATGTACTTAATGGATTTTTATTTTTTAAAAAGTTAATTTAATGCATTTAATGCAAATATAAATAATAATAATTATTAATACACTTATGTTCAAAATATGTAGTAATAATAATAATAATACTTTTATTCAGCATTAAATTTAAATTTGAGCATAAGACACTTTAAAAACATTTAAAACCTTACTGATCCCAAAGTTTTGATAGGCAGTTCATACTTAACATTAAGATAATAGTCAGATATTCATGACTTTTCATAACATTTTCTGATTATAAACAGAAAGTTGAATGTAAAAGTTTACATTGCTATTAGCCTCTTATTTTAATCTGTATGTTAGCAGGGTTGATGGGACCCCATAAAGACAGTAAAGTCAATCTCAACAGAACATGAGATGTAATGATTAATTAATTACGCAAATTACTTTTAACCTAACTGACTGATTTTACCAACTAATCAATAATTCGATATTTTGATTACATTCACAGAACAGATTTACCATTATGTTGTTTTATCTAAAGCTACTGACACAATTTCAGTCACCATTTCAAACCTATTACTATAGTCTTGACTCAGTGGATGGTAGTGTAAACAAACAGAAACAGATTTGTACTTGACATTGCTTGGCATTAGATATTGCTTGAAGCAGCAGAGTCCTGTAGCTTGCGCCCGGCTCAAGTTGTGTGCGCCACGGGAAAAACAACACGGTGAGGTCATGGCCAGCGGCGCGGGGATAACGTTTCAGCCGAGCCTGTGAGAGGGATGTGATCCGCTCCCGCTCTTTTGTTCGGCTGTAACCGGGCCCCACGGACCGCTCGTGAAGCCCGCTGAATGGTCTGTTGTAGAAGTGCCGGCCTTTTGTCCTTCTCACAATTTATGTAGTGCGTGAGACCCGATACAGTTTCGTCATAGTTTAGAATAGATGATATTGGGCAATGTGATGGAACTAGCAGGCCTAATCATATTGCATTTAGTAACTAAACCACAGTTTGTGTAAACTACCTCAGAGTGAATTCCTCTAAAGTCATCGGTGGTTTTGACATGTACATACAACTCTCCCTGACGCTTTAGTGCCTCTTAATGCTTTAGAAATGTTCTGGCTGTCATCTAATAATCATGCTGTGTAACTTATGGTGGGTGTGTAAAGCACTAAACCAGTGTCATATGAGTTGGTTATTTAACTTTATTCAATTTTAACTGCTGGTTTTCTGGATCCAAAGTTGCATCTCTTTGGTTTCTTTCCCATGACATAAGTATTGTTTCACATGACTAAATTAACCCCAACTATGTTAGGTTACACAGTAGCAGTAGCTGGAAGAAATATCAGTTTCCTGGTTAGTAGGGGATGCATCGACTAGTTAACTAATTGGTTAGCTCTACCACTGGTTAGATGTTTTGTGCCTGAGTCAACTGGCTGTGGATCATGTGACTTAAATTGTGCTTGTTATGTGGAGACAGCAGAAGGAATATTCTAATTCTTGGTTAGTAGTTAACTAATTGATTAGCACTAAACCAATGTCAAATATGTAGGTTATTTAAGGTTACTGTATTTCAACTTCTAGTTTTCATGTCCCATGTCAAAAATATTGTTTAATACGACATCACTCTTGAGGTTAGGTTACATGGCAGCTGGAAGAAACATCAGTTGTTTGGATAGTAAGTTGTTGCACCGATCAGTTAACTAATCAATTAGTTCTGTGACTATTTGATGTTTTTAGCCTTTGTTGAGTAGTTGTGGACCATGTGATTTTAGTTGTGCTTCTGTATTGTGGCAGTTGGAGGAAGATTCAATTTCCTGGTTTGCAGGGGATGCACAGACTAGTTAACTAATTGGTTAGTTCCGCCACTTGTTAGAGGTTTTGGGCTTGTATTGACTAGCTGTAATTCACTTGACTCAAGTTATGTTTGTTCTATATGATGGCAGGCTTGGCAGCTGGTATAATTTTCAGGTTTTTGGTTATTAAATAGTTGCTAGTTAACTAATTGGTTAACGCTACCATTGTTAGATGTTTTAGCCTGTGCTGACTAGTTGAGGACCATGTGATTTAAGTTGTGCTTGTTCTATATTGTGGCAGGTGATGGACGATTTGGTTTCCTGGTTGGTAGGGGTTGTGTTTACTAGTTAACTAATTGGTTAGTTCTACAACTAGTTAGATGTTTTGGGCCTGTGTCAACTAGATGTGGATCATGTGACTTAAATTGCACTTGTTATATTGCAACAGGAGGACACTTTGATTTTTGGTTAGCAGTTAATTAATCAATTATCACTAAACCAGTGTCATATGTGTTGGATATTTACGTTTTTTGGATTGTAACTGCTGGTTCTCAGGACTAAAAGTTGGATCTGTTTGGTTTCTGTCCCATGCCAAAAATATTGTTTAAAATGACTAAACCAACCTTACTTTGTTGTAGATAGAACTAACTCCTTAACAGTGTTGGGTTTAATGCATCACTAAGTAATCAATTACTGTAATTTAATTATATTTTCCTTGAAAAAGTAAAGTAAGGGATTGCTCCTAAACTTTTTCTGTAATGTAATTACAGTTACTTCCGATGTAATTTCATTAAATAGTGTATAGACTAGAACAATTCTATATAAATGATAGTGGATTTAACATTAAAATGTAACATCTAATGTTAAAATGTATGTTTTTAATGTAACTGTTAATATTTTGGTCAGTTCAAGAATTATTTATGCAGATTTTATTATTATTTATATGAAATAATTAAGAGTGGTTTCATGTTTATCCTTGTATTGTTCAACTGATTGAGATTTAGAATTAGTAATAAATAATCCAATACTTTTTTATAGAGAGTAATTAGTACAGTAATCTAATTATACTGTTGAAGATGTAATTAGTAGTTAGTAATTATTTACTTTTTTAGAGTAACTTAACCAACACTGCTCCTTAAGGTAACAACTGCATAATGCAGTGTACCAGTGGGATTTTTTTGCCAGTTCATTGGAACTGATTTACCTGCGGGGCAACATAACTGGACTTGGTTATGCGTTAGCTGACAAGAATGATGGGAAGATGTTCATTGTGAGGTATTTTTTGCATCCCCCACCCTGTGAGGGGCAGAGGGACAGGAGAGTCAAGCTGACAATAGCGAGATTGTTTTTCAGGGAGCTGCTGTAAAGATCACATTTCCTGTTACTGGCTGAAAGCGGGGTCAGCTGACACCAGCCTCCTTCACCGCTGCGGCTGTCATCACTGCTCAGACGAGGGGGAAAAAAATGACACTAACAGCTTCAGGGCACAAGTTAACTCTTAACATGATGTACACATATCA